AACCTTTGTTACGATATGGACAACCACCAGGTTTGGTACTATAATTACTGTTGCGCAGGTCCGAGCCGGCCGCCTTTAGCGCCGCTCAACAACAAAACAAGACTGCTTAAAGAAATAAAACTGGAAAAAAGAATATCTATTATATTATATCTACATTTATAAATTACAGAATTAATTAATTTAAATTGAAAAATATTCTATTTAATGTTCTTCAATCAGTCTTAAATAATTAGAAATTAGTGTCTAAGAAATAAATTGAAAGATAAAACGAGCTCGCGCATCTTCGTGAATATACGAGATCGAAACGGATGGACGACTGAAACAGTTAGCCCGACGCGATTTGAAAGGTAGGCAATGCCTCTGATGGGTTACAGAGACAGCGGAGGACATTTCGCCGTACGCTACGTTCCAGCTTTCGGAGGGTGGCGGGGGAAGCCTGGCAGGGTTGGGCGCTTTGGGCGGACTGGGAGGCGCGGCGGAGGCCACGGCGGCCGGTCTCCACCCGAACAACACTCTTCTGCACAGCTTCATGTATCACGAGCACGCCATGACCGAAGGGTGCGCGAGCCCTCCACCGGCGGCGACGGTATACGACAAATCTCTTTCTTTCTCTAGGATTTTATCAATTACTCCAGTTTTGATATATTATTGTACAAATTATACATGGGATATGGAAAATACACTAAATATATAATACATTAAATTATTAATATTTTATTATAACAATATATATTCAATCAGCATAAATTATTAATTATGTAACTGTTAATTAATAATACGAATCACGATTGGAGATTAGAATTGAATTAGAATTCTGTTACAAATTGTATTTTGCACACAAAAATCCAATTTGCACAGAGCATGAAGAGCGTTTCGTCGAGAAGGAGACAGCAGAGAAAGCAGCAAACCCCAGGCGATGTCGAGAGCGACGAGAGCGAGTCTGACCCGGACCAACTGATAAGCTCGCGCACGGAGTCGTCGAATCAGTTGGACGCTGGAAAATTAAAACATAGTACGTATTTGATCCGAAGTCTTATTAAAACGTTCGATTTATCGACATTTCTAACGAACTGTCGTTTCAGTTCGCGCGGTCTCGGACTTTATCTATCACGGCACGTCGAGCACGTCTTCGGACATTTCTCCAATGTCCGAACAGAAGTCACTGCCACGGAGGGGGCGATCAAGGTAATGACCGAAATAGCAAATCAGATTATAATCAATTCCATTTTGTTGCAATTTTCCATTTATTAATCTCTGTTAGATGATCTCTGTTCTAAAATATACAAAAGTATATTTGAGTGATTCTGAGTCAAATATTTGACAAATGCACATTTGTCTCGTTTAAATCAAATATTAAAAAGTAATATGGAGCATCATTTATAAAACTATACTAAAAATTATATATTATTATACACGCATATTTAAATTAATTGGGTATATCTCATTTGATTGGGATACTCCTCACCACAAAATACGCTCATTCACAACATCCGCCAGTAAGCTCGTTTCGTTTGGCTATCTCGTAAGATGGCATGTTCCCAGCAGGAGCTCTCTACGCACACTACTGCCGCCGATCTCGGTCGCGGAGACCGCGTTTGTCGGCAATCAGGGGGCGGTTGTGCCGGGGAACGGGGACCGACCGGAGCTCAGCGAGGCCGAGTGCGACATCGACTCCCTGAAAAAGCTGAAGCTGGGCCTGCGAAGTTCTCTATGGTCGCGGCCAAGCACTCAGAATAATCCTTCCTCGGATTACTCTATCGCCGTCTAATCTGCCCTTCCCTCTACTCCCCCCCGGATGTCGCAAACATCCCACGGTAGAGCTCCCCCTTTTCTCTTAACCCCGTGGGCCAAAGATTAGGTAAATTGATCTCTTCCCTTCGTGTCTCGTCGAAAATTTTCTCGTGGTCATTCGTAGGGCCACTCGACTGCCACGTCTTCTGTCGACGATAGGTAAATTACGTTCTATTCGTTAACGACGATCGAAGGAGAGGCGTACATAAATAAGAGCGGGGAAGATCGAGGCAACGAGGATGGACGAGTATAGAAGAACACACGTGTGTGCACATAAAGTCGAATAGAAAAAGATGATTTCTTACCGTATAGAAAATCATATATCCCTAAAATTTTCAAATTATGCTATTATAGACTTATATACAATACAAAAAGGAATTTTTGCATTCGAGATATTAACTGCTACATTATCTAATCATCGATATACTTATACCTATGTGACAAAAAACGTGACTATAAAACGGTTCTTCTATAAACGCGTGTCTTCGTTGATCGAGCCGAGAGAACTAGTCGAAAGTATCTAATAAGTACGTGCTTCTCCTCCTCCTTGTCTATGACGCGACGCGAGATAATACACGTGCGTGCGGAATGCGTGAGGTGCGTGAGTGAGTCCGAGTCCGAGTGCGTGGATGATCGTCGAATCGCGTGTACGAATGCGTGCCAAAACGACAATTTGCTCAGACCGCTGCGAGTCGTTTCGCGGGCGGGCGATCCATTCGAGACCAAAGACTTAATTGTACGAACAGAGAACGGGAGAGTATTTCGCGTATGAAGTTCATGTACAAGAGAGGTGGCAGGCTGCGTCTGCTTCCATTCGCGAAAAATTCCTTGTATTATATTACGATATTATTTAGGGTAACTAAGACTGTAAGAGATTTTAATTCATTTGTTCATGGAAAATATGCTCGATATGATATTGAAAGTCATCGATTATGTCTATTATTTTTTTATTTCTCTTTATATTAATTTATCGCTATCTACTCATTGTAATTTCCTTTATTTTTATAACTTAATATTTTTTTTTAATTGTCAAGATCTCGTTCACATTTGTTAAGATTTTTCTTCCCGTTTCCATTGAATATATAGTATAACGAAGCAGCTCAAAGCTGTCCTGCCATCCTGGAAATCATGCTCGTCTGTATTCGGTGCGCGCATGTTCTTAGAAATCGGGATGAGAGCGGATCGGAATGGAAGAAGAGACCGGACTTCCAAGTCTCCCCCCTCCCCCCAAAAAAGCGGATCGTTGACGGTTCGGCTCTGTTGTATTGTAAAGTTTATATACGTACGAATATAGTACCGTTGATTACTTTAAGTCCGTTATTAAACCTAAGACTTCTACGTAGAACGTTTTCCTGTAAAGCAAAGCGCGTTACGATCGGAAAAATCGAGTACGGAGCTGAGTCATGGTGCAGTCTCGTTTTCCCGCTCTGTAAAAATTTCGAGCCGAGAATCGCTTGAAGGAGAGCCGCAGGCGAACGCAGGCTCACTCCTTCTCCAGATGTCTCTTCTAATGTCGTGCACCTTCAAGACTTTGTGATCTGACGCGACCAAATCTTTAATGCAATAAGTCGTACCAGCGAAACTCCTTTTCAGACTGAAACTCGAAAGTACTACGAAAAAAAGTCGCCATTAGAATTAATAATTAATTGTTTAACGCGTGCATGCACATCCTGCTGCGCCGCGAACTTCCAATATCTCCACGACACTGCCATTCCGCAGACTACTTGCCGCGACCTAAAGGGTCTAATTCGGATCACTTTACACATTCCGTAACGAAAGAAAAGAAACATGTTTTTGTAACTTTTATCGAACTTTTACCCGAAATTGTAATGACGTTTAAAAGAAAAATTGTTTGGCCCACTTTTTCCCGCCGACGTCATTCTAAATAGTTAAGTGTACTATACGATGTTTATATTCGGATCTCTGTGATGGCGTACGTACTTATACTTCCTAGTTTATTTCAGCGCGAAGGAAGCTGCCGCGAATTGTACTCTATCGTACAAAGTAATAATTTTTATCTTGTGAAAAGAAGAGGTCCAGGAAGGGATTAAAAAAATCTAGTCATGCCATAATACTTAAGGGACGTCTAGAATTTCTGGTTTACTGCGAGATAATGCCGAATAAGTTAAGAAAAGCTGTGCGCGACACTACGAAGACGAGGCCGTAGGTAATACGTATGTAGAATACAATATGTTTTTGAGTACACGGGCATCAAGACGCGTGCATACAGGCATGTACGACGCGTTCGTTATAATGTATATAAGGGAAGCACGTCAATCAAACTCGTAGTGTTCGATTAAAGTCGATAAGAGCAATCTTCGAAGAGGACGAAAATGCGGATTCGCCGTCTTGCTCTTGGTGCGGTTGCCGGACAATTTTCGCCGATACGATTTTTGTACATTTTTCTTGCGTCATGGACCGACCGAGTTCTGTCAATATCTTGCCGTAAACTTTCAGGGACCAGGTTCTCTTCGTTGTTGTCGCGATAATAACCGTGTGAAAAGCCGACGAAAAGTATTCAATAACTAATCAACGATCCCGAATAAACCTGATCAACGAATTTTTTACTGCGCAATTTTTCACGAAGCTAATTTGGATTTAGACGGTCTCTCGTCATTTATCTGATTGCAATTTGGATACTTTAGGATCTCGTCGCGGTAAGGTACTTTTGTGGTCGGTTTTATCGGATTTTTACATTTTGCACCGCGAACAATTAATACATACGGTCCTCGAAGGATGATGCAGTGACATAACTCGGTGCACCCTACCAATCACCATTTGCGATAATCCGTGCAGCTCGGAGAATATACTTTAACTGTTGCGTCTGTGTGAATGGAGGAAGGCGAGCGAACAAATCAAATGGACATTGTTATTGTAACTACGATTAATTATGTCGTTGTAGAATGAGAGAGGCTTACCGGCGCGAGAGTGCGGCGCGGACGGTCCAATCGTGGCGCGAGAATTGCGCAAAAAGAGGTCGTCGCAAGAGCTCCGTGAAAGTGAATGAAGAAGCTCGCAAATTTCTTTCTCTGTTCTGCGATCGGAGGTTGTACGATTAAAAACGAATTGTCGATTAAATTTAAACTGTATTAAATCTGTGGGTACGGCATTTCGATGCATTGTGTCGATCGTAGAATCGATTAAATAAATTGATATCGTGTAAAGTAGCATCGGGTTAATTTCCTGAGCAAACCTCATGAGACATTCAATAATTCGTGAGAGTTTATATTTATGTTTTTGTGCAATGCAGATTTCCTGGTTTAGGGATACAATCGAACAATCGATGATTCTCTCAGTCTTAGTATCCCGTAAGATCCGAAAACGTGGAGTCTAAATCATCACAGATGTACTTGTATTTTTCTTTTTCTTTTAGCAAATAATCTGAAACGTGAACGACGATTTATTAATAACGGTATCGTTTTGACAAGTTTAAAAGTTTTTTTATCCATAAGTTTATATAACACGATTATTACCTTCCTTCTTGTCCATTTCTTTTGTGAATATCTTGACGGTTTTTTCGGCGATTATGGCACGCTTTTCAACAGCTTTCAGTTTTACTTTTAATTCCTTTAGCTGTGCTTTAAATTCTTCCACCCTTTGGTTAGCCTGCATAAACGATTTCTTTATATATTTTTAATTTTTTAATATGAAAATAAAAATTTATCAATACATAAAAAAAGTGTCTACTTTCTCTTCCGACACCTCCAAGGACTTGAATATATTGCCGACGATGAATAACTCATCTTCCCTCTCGAGAATTTTCCTAAAACATAACAGCCTGCGTCAAGCGTGTTAAGGTTCTTAAGAAAATTTTTTTAAATGATTAAATGTTTTTTAAAAATTAAAGAACTGATTTTAAAAAATTTCCATCACACAACTTAATGAATATATGGAAACTTTTCACGCAAAAGTAAAACATCCTGGAAAGAGTAGGATACATTGTGAACTGTTCTCATTTTAACTGAAAATAGAGAAGAAAGAATTCAGCTGAAAAGAATGCAGTCTCTATATTTAGAGAATCGCGTACGCCTCGCTCGATTTAACTCTTTCTTCCGCCGCTTCGAGCTCGTCCTCGACAAACGCCAATTTTCTCGAAATCTCATCCGATTTCGTGTCGGCGTCTTCAGCGATAAGCTTCGCTTCCTTCAGCTGTGCCATCAATTGATTCATTCTCTCTTCATCTTGCTTGCTCCTGTTCTCCAAGGCTTTGCAGATGCTGAATAAGAATAAGATTATGATTATGACAGCTTACATTTCTTGCGAAAAAATAATGGTGTTAATGAAAATTTTATTTTTATAGCGATATAACTTTTTTATAACAGCTATTAATATAAAATATTTGTTATATATCTGCTAAGTGTGATACTTTAAAAAATATTTTATAGCAAAAATTTTACAAAGAAAATTTTATATAGATTGAAGTATAAATATTTATACCGCTTTGCGTCCTCAGCAGTTTCCATGGCTTGCGCGAGTTTTACTTGAGCTGACAAACATCGTTCCTCCGACTTTTCTAAATTCTGCACGCACTGCTGCATTTTTCTATTCAACACCGCCAGTTCCGACTGCGTCTGCAATATTACAATTAGTGTAAGGGCAAATTGAATTGCGAAACGCGTGTGATACATCTCGTTCGATTCACTAACCACGATATAGATCCTCTCCTTTATCTCGAGATTCCTGTTTGATTTTATCAGTTGGGCCTTACTCACTTCCAGATCGTGCTCCATTTGCACCAACTTTTTCGCCAATTCGCGCACCTCATCCCTTAATTTTTCTTCCCTTTGATTTGCCTCCTTCGCTTGCTGATCGCACAGATCGGCTTTGTCCATCGCGAGATCTTTCTCGAGCTTTAGCGTCTGCAGTCGTTTCTTAATGGCATTCATGTCTTTGTTGGAAATTAATTAGAAATATTCTCTTTCAATCAATGATGTTACTAGAATTTTTAATAAATAAATTTAATATATTACATAATCGAATTATTTTAACAGCTGTTTAAGTCGCAAGAATTAAATTTTTATTATCTAACTAACTTTGTCGCGTGGAAAGAATTTTTTAAATAATTATTGATATTTGTAACTTATGATAATTCTTTTTACGTTTTATATTTTTTGATCGAAATATTTAATCAAGCTATTTGAGTAAGTTCACAAAAAACACTTTCACTTTGAAGTATCTTCTTGTCACGTGCAAAAAATGATAATTTTCAGGTTTACACTCTGTTAAACAGAATTTATAAATTACTGCAGAACCGGACGAAGTATCAAAATGCAACGTCCGTGGGTTACTGTACTCAGTGACCGATGAGAACAATGTTTTATAGGCTCAATGCAATGCAAAAAGACAAAAGCGACCGTCGCTTTAGTTAGGCTCAAACGAATTCTTGGACTTCTTAAAGCTGTGGTGTACGTGCTTTGTTGTGCTGACGATCGTTGCCGATCGCAGATACATCGATCGTCAAACGTTTATATTTGCATTATTATATTTGTTTGAGAATTATTATTTAAAATAGAATTCAAGCGTACAGTACACAGATTTTGCGATTTAAAATGACAAACGTATCTTTTAATTCACTACGATTTAGAGAATTGATATAGTATAGGTATTGTAATATTTTTTATATATTCTTTTAATGTAGTTAACGTTAAGAGATAATAATTTCAATTTTACAGTTATATATTTTTTGTTAATTTCATAATTATAATTTAATATTGAGAAAATTAATTATTAATAATATTATATTAAAAAACAAATAAGATTAAATTAAGATTAATTACTACTCATATTTGTATTATTTATTTAGTCATTTTTTAAATCTCTATTCTATTAGCAACACGATATATAAAGGATTAAAACTCATTAGAGAATATGTGATGCTGTTTATTGAAAATACAGATTTTACATTGAATGGTAAAAAGGATGCGCGATATCGTGATCTCGCTCGCGCGTACGACATTAAGTCCCTCCAACGCCTCTGAAAAAAAAGAGATAAACGAAATCGTGAATCGTCGATCGATACAGCGAACAACGAGCATGACCGTGAACCAAATGCCCGATCTTGGCAAGGTGTTGCACGTAGCGAAGCAGTTATAGTAACAAGCCGCATTGCATTGCCTTGTCCATCAATGGATTATTGCGCGAAGCGAGTTATTTCTAATATCGCTCACGACACTCTGTAAAACGGAACGGCGTTGCGATTTAAGCGGTACGTCAAGCACAGCGAGCCGAACTAATGAACAGTAAAAGATAGCGAATAAGCGGAGGGAAGCGTAGGAGTAGCCAAATCGAGAGATTCAAATCGAGTCCGTTCGCAGGATTTTAGAATCCTGACATCTCGGCGAATGTAGCATCCATATCGTCGCAGACCGCCTTGTACTTTTCTTTCTCCTCCCTAAGTTCGTCTGAAACGTGCAACCAATTTCTCAATGGTACAAGAAAAAGCAGAACCACACACACATTTTTTAAAATAATTTACAAAACTGGATTATAATTTACAGAGCTGGAAATAAAATTTTCAGAAGAGTTCTTACCTTCCTTCATGTCCACTTCCTTTAGTAACGTCTTCACCATCCTTTCGGCGTTGATAGCGCGCTTCTCCGCTTCCTTCAGTTTCTTCTTCAAGGATTTCAGCTGCATCTTAAAGTCTTCTACCCGCTGGTTCGCCTAAAATCAAAATAATCGAGAAGTATTGCAGCGTGACTGATAACTACTGCAACGTATTGTATTACCTTCTCCTCGGACACTTCGAGGGACTTCACGATATTCTGTACAATGAACAGTTCGTCCTCACGTTCCACGATTTTTCTGCGAAAAGATGTTTCAGTAAAAAGGTTTAATATATATATATATATATATATATATATATATATCATATTGTGTGTATATAATATATAATGTATAACAAATTATAATTGTTGCACATACGCCTCGCTAGTCTTCACTCTCTCTTCAGCAGCTTCCAGTTCTTCCTCCACGAACTGCAATTTCCTGGCTATTTCGTCGGATTTCGCGTCGGCGTCCTCGGCGATTAATCTTGCATCCTTTAATTCCGACGTCAATTTCTCCATACGTTCCTCATCCAAGCGACTCCTGTCCGTCAAGACATTACACATTCTGCACGTAAGAAAAGGAGAAATAGCGTTATTACTTTGTCGTGTTTTATAATCTACTTGTTTAATTTATGAATACGTATATAATTTGTGAAACACGTCATACGTGTATAGTTTATTGTAAAACGTGACACAATGTGACACAATAGCAATAAATTTATAAACCTCTGCGCATCATCCGCGAGTTCGGTCGCACGTGCCAATTTTATTGTGGCGGAAAGACGTAGCTCTTCCTTTTTCATAAGACTCGCTTCGATCTCCTGCACTCTCTTCGTTAAAACGGTACGATCTTGCTCAGCCTGTACGCGCAACACGATTAATTGATACGAGATAAAAAATTGTCTTTGTAGTAGAAATTTTATTACAAGTTTACAAAAAAGAAATTTGCTATTGCAGAAGATATTTAAAATCTATTCATCAATCATTACGTACTCGAGACCAGGATTTTTCGCACTGCTCCAGATCGGCGGTTGATTGCTCCAAGCTGGTTTTGGTGATAGTATAATCTCGTTCCAATTGGATCAGTCGTTTCTGCAGGTCCCTGAGATCGTCGTTCAGCCTGTCTGCCCTTATATTCTCCTGTTTCGCTTTCGTCTCGTTGACTTCGACCTTCTCGTTCGCGACGTCCATCTCGAGCTTCAGCGCCGCGATTTTCTTCTTGATCGCCTCCATCGTGACGCGCGATTTTGGCCCTTCCCCTTATCAGTTACTCTGAATTTCACACTTATCTCGTAAAGCTAAAGTACAATTTTGGATGACTAATTTAAAAGATAAAAAATTACAACTGCGCGATCAGAGCCTACAAAATGCATAAATCGCGCACTGAATTAAAATACGAATTAAGATTAAAATATGAGCACTTTAATTAAAATACGAATACTTTATAATGGAGTGTAATAAAATTTGCAACAAATATCTTTTTTTAATTATTCGCAGTGAGCAGAGTCCGTACCTTAAATATAGCCCAGTAAAAGAAGGACGACGAGTGCAATCACAAGAACTTCGTTACTGCTCGCCGCGAGATTTCACCCCGCGTCATTCAATGCCCGCGATGTACCTATATCACCCTATATTAATCGTTTAATAAATTTCGCGAGGTGATGCGGCGTCCGGACGAGCAGAGAAATTCCTACTAAGGGGGACACACTCACTGCGATCGTGACGATGATCCGCGGGGAGAATGCCACAACCGGATGCCTTCGACAGCTAAGCTAAAATAAAACGAAACCGATTTCGGCGGCGGTGCCGGCCACCTTCCCGAACTCCCCGATCCAATCCAATTCTATAATTGCTTGGGGACTTTGGCTATCGTCCCGAAACTTACCCTCCGCTGTCGTCGCCGCGGCTGCCTACGAAACGCGATATCCGCCCGTTCCCATGCTATTCTCGGCCCCCCCCGAAAAGAATCCCGTTCCTGTTTTCTGCCGACCACGTAATCAACTCCCCGTGGTAAACAGCCTGACCGAGTCCGTCGTCACATCGATAGGCGTTGATCGACATTAAGAGTCAGTTAAAATGTCAATCGGCGTGTGGACCAGCTTCGAATCTTCCCGCTGATCGAAGACCTGCCTATCGAACGGGTTGATGTCACGCGCGGGAGCTCTCGGTAAAATCACTCTAATAATGAAGCTCCGAGATTTGAGATTCGAAATCTATCTGCTGAAAAGGATTTACAAAACTGTAGAAAAAATCATAAATGCTTAAAATATCGAGAAATCGAGAAATTTAAAGAGTAGAATTAAGGGATGAAAACCATTTGTGGCGCTATTACACATATCTAGAAATGAGAATAAATTGTTTATATTAAATGGAAATGGTGTGTAATAATAAAGATAATTAAATCTAGCGAAAGATATATTTAATAATTTCACCGGTGTATTTTTACAACAGTCTCAGATTATAACATGTAACTTCTTCGTTTAAACTACTTATAAGACGCTGCATGTGAAAGAAAGCTACGCGGATGAAATTCTATGGATGTTTCGATGCAAATGCTTTTACTGTTAATTGTACTTCTTAATGATTACACGTATGTGAGATCGATTTTCTGATCGATTTCCAGATATACAGATAAGCAGACTTTCAATTGTAAATGTTGCTTACAATTAATAAAAGTAACGCAGTCCAGTCGTGTTACAAAGAAATTAGTATTGACTGTTATACCTTTAAGTGTCTTTTTCCGAATGAACTTATACAATTTTTTCATATGGCACGCAGTAAAGATGTCGGATACAGTCCAGTAGAAATATGTCGCTCGATCGTCGAACGTACACAGACGATATATCCAAAAGTAATAGTAGACTGTGCAATGTTTCATTTTGCGCATATATAATATATACATAAAGATATATATATATGCTTGGTAAATATTCCGAAGTATTGAAAAAGCGGTGCATATTGACATAGAGTTTTGGCAAGATAATACATGTATATATATAAGTATATATCAAGAATCATGACGGCATTTCAAGAAAAGCGCTCGAAACAATATCGATATCAAATACGATCATATCGCACATTATAATATGTAAATGCATCATCTCCCTGGAATAACAACTTCGTGTAACGAGAAAAATGCAAACTGCACAACACAACAGCTTAATATTATAACGTTAACCACAGCACAACTCTATCAAGAAATAAAAATAAGTAATATAAATTTTTGTACGCAGTACAAATACAATAACTAATACAAATTAAAAGACGTGAGAACAAATCGAGTTTCGTTTACAATAATCATACCACAAATGTGGTACGCGAGTTAACACAAATACCATTAGTAAGTACAAAATAAAAAAAAATTAATGAAAAAGCAATATAAAACAGAGTATACGAAAAATGTCACAGATCCCTCTCTCAATCAGCTCAACTCGAAGTGCAATGCGATCGATCGCTAATGTTAAGTTACATATAAGGACATACACGTACTTAACAAATTAACGTACGATTTTTACGCTGGGCGGAAATAGAAAGACGATGCTGTTCATCAAACTCACGGTGGGAAAAAGGACACCTAGAAGGTGTTAATGCGCCATTGATGAGAGCAGCATCGTCATCTGGAAAGATTAGACCCTGTTTCGGAGTCAACGGACATCATTAGCACGTAAGTTGGCGTATACGTAAGCAACAGATGCACGGCGTCCTCGCGATCGAGCGCTCGCAATTGTTGCACCAGCGAACCGACGGTGCATTCCGCACCTGCGCAGTTCAGCAGCCTGTGGATCAAATACGGAATTTCGGAATACAATCAGTAGCGTTACGACACAATTAATATGTCTCGGAGGTAAATCTCTTACCTCAAAGTCGGACTGTCCACTGTGCTATCCAGTTGGGCGACGCGATCCCCCAAACCGAGCCTCACGGCGAGCAAGCACCAATCTCTTCCGTGATGATCAGGCGGATCTAGCATCTGCGCCAGTCGCCGCTGCACGGCGGGCTTGATGTATTTTACAGGTTGCTTCGGCCCGGGAACGCAATTCTCCATCAACGGCAGCCCGCAACTTACTATCTCCCACACGGTTTCCTGCTGATCGTTTAGAGGATTCTTAAAGGACGCCTCTTCGAGGCCTTTCTCGATTAAAGCCGATATGATGGTGGCTGGCGCCCAAGAGTGAACTACCTGTAAATATATCGGTCAAAGTAAATCACACACAATCTCTCTCAATCTTTTTATTTTACAATACATAAATCTAAATATTTAAAACGTTACTTACCTCGTCGTATTCTCGAAGCTGGCTAGGACTCAACCAATGCCTCTCGAGTAACATTCCGGGTGCGACTAATTCGATAGTCGTATCTATCGCGTCCAGGATCACGCTGAGAAGGGCAAAGCACTGCGCGCTAGAACCACGCGGACCGCGAACTTGGATCTCCACGCAGCTGTGTTCCTCTTCCTCGAAAGTGATTATACTCTCGCAAGGCCCCAAGCACAGCTTCGACCCTCGCCACCACTGATACAGATCCGAATTCGACGGATCCCACGTCTGAGTAATTTTTCTCAGTTGCGCCTACATCAATTGCAGTATTTTAACTCTTCTATTATTATTCTACTATTATTAATCCTCTTTATCATAAATATTGATTACCTGTAAATGCGTAAATATAGCAGTCAAATGGTACAAAGGCGCTTCCTCTGGACAAAGGCGTAAACCAGCGTGAGGTAATGCATTGGAACACGGTTTCCACGGTTCCCATAAACCCGGGAGACGCTCTACAAGGTTTAAACACGGAATCTCGTACTCCACTTCGTCGTCATCCACTTCGCACTGAAATATAATAGGTCGTAATAAATATAATAATATAAGCATTAAATAAAATATATAAAATAATATATAATCAATGGATTTGATCAATTTTCTAATACGTACCGGTACGCATAAATTGACCGCTTGCAAAGCTTGTAAAGCTTGAGCGGCGGGGCACGGGCATCGCGCTTGAAAATCTTCTAAGGTGTAAACGCCGGTGGTCCGACCGCCCAATCGGCCTCTCTGATCGGGACTTAATTGCCAATTTAGCACGTCTTGCCAAAACCACTCGGGACTAAGCACTACCAGGTTTCCAGGAAGAAGAATGCATTCCCCCAAGTTCTGTAATTTATACACAAATACTTTTTGTTAGAGAAACCGAGCAACGCGTTCTGTAGATTAGGTTAAGAATTAATAAACTACAAACCTGCAACTGTAATCCGAGATGTCTGCAATGTTCCAAACAGACTAGAGGATTGATCTTTCGAACCTCGTTCAGAAATTCTTCCTGAGTGAGCATTAACGGAGGCACTTCCAACGACTGCATGTAGGATCTCCATGCTTCGGCGAGACCAGTCCACACTAAGGTGCTCTATAATACGCGATTAATATCCATAATAACAGAGAATTCTGCCTTCATCCCGATATCACATTGATGCAGAAAATATATACAAGAGAGAGAGAGAAAGAGAGAAAATCTCTTTTATTTTCTTTAAGATAGATAATATAGTGCATGTATGTATACATGGGAGAAAGCATTAGTGCAACTATTGAACCAAAGTACAATTTCAGTTTATACACATCATTCAGAATTATTTAAAGGAATTGAGAGAAGTATTTCGACCTGTTTATCAAGATTCGCCAGGGGCACGTACGTAGCCGCAGCACGCGGCGCGTCACGTCGGAGAATACTTTCTGCAACTTCCGGTCCATCCTACATCATGCATTGCATGCATTAAGGCTTGTTAATAAACATTAATTGGCCAAATAACCAGCAACTAAAACATATGTTCTTAATAAATTCGATTCAACGAGATATGTATATATATATATGTATATGTATATATATGACATATCGGATCTTTTTCATTGAAAATGGTGCGCTCAATCAAACATTGCAAATAATCGAATATCGTCGAAAGTCACGAGACACAGAAAGTACTTTCAATGCTTTCAATTATTTGTACATATATCAAATCAACCATGCATCATGGATGTCAAGAGGAAAATCATATAAGTGATTATAGAAATTGTCGCATTGCCTCTGTTGAGAGTCAATGACTTGATTTGACGGTATACTGACGCTGCAAATTTCGAGATTGATGAATGAATTATACAAACAACAGCGTAATGAAATAGTCCATTATTGACCAGAACCGTTTCACGAAAGGGTTAATGCGCACATTTATTATACATGCTGTACAAATTAGTATAATACTCTGCGAAAACGTGATTATTTACATAAGGATTTGCGTTAGTTCACAATTGCTTGTATCAACAGGCTGCAGAATCAAACGGTTCTGCTCGCACATATTTAGTATCAAGCATACTGATATCATGCATTTACTGATATAAATTTTGGAGTGGATTAAAGATATATGTATAATATTCGATGGTAAAGATGTAAAATTAGAAGAGATGACAAATTCTCATCAGAAAAAAAAGATTTGTCGAATTCAAGATTTGTTTTATCAATTTGAATTTTACAGACGAGTGAGCGATGAGAATGATAATATCTCTTCTAATGTTATATATGATAGTATATATGATAATTGTATAATTTGACAGAGAATATAATTATTTTACCTCGAGAAATTCCATCCTTGCATTATTTAAATAAGATCTGAGGAGTTTCAGGCCAGGACTAGAAGGATTAGTTGCGTCCAGTGCTACCATTTGAGGTTCCTCCCCCAAAATCGACGTAAAGTCTTTTAGAAATGGCAAGAGTGGTGCGAGTAGATTGCCGCCGTTAGAATTCGGGGCTAAAGGTTCCGGCGCGTAAGTGCCGACTAAGATCACTTTTACATCGTTGCACTTGCCGCCAAATCC